ATCATGATTGTTGTAGCTGAGGAAACTTAGGTGCCCTGTCCAGTATTCTGTTTAGGAAATAGGGGATGCGTTGTGAAAAGATTTCCCTAAAATGAATAAAAAGTATGAGTAAAAAAATGAGTCCGAAAATTTTGATGTTTGAAAGGTATTTAGTGTTTAACATACTTGGAGAGTTCACTTATGTAGATAAATGAATCATACTTAGATTATCATCTAATAAATACATAACGATTCTATTAATAACGCATTTATATATCGCACTTACGCTGAATTATATGCACTCATTTCCCCCACCTGGAATGCCCTCCCCTCTTCTTCTGTCTACCCCAAACCAAGAAAGCTTTGAAGGCTCAGCCCACGTTCCAAGCGAGCTTTCCTCGTCTCTCCCCCCACCAAACCCCACTAACTCCCAGGGTCTGTATCGCACAATTTAGTCCCTAATTATTTTTGGTCTTGTCCATTCACTCTAAGTCATGCTGCTGCAAAGACCCTGGGTTGGGTCCCTTGGGGGAAGGGGGCAGGACCAGTCTCAAGTACCCTGGAGACTGTGGGACGTGCCTGGGGAAAGGCTTGTCGACTGACAAACGGATGGTGGCGTTGCTGCTCCCTCGTAGGAGAGGGCTTCAGGACACCCCAGTTGTCTGCACGTGGTCTCCCCCATTAGACCGTGAGCTTATCCAAGCCTTTCGCCTTTCTTACAGTGCCAGCAAACCACAGGTGCTTAATAAATGTTTCCCGATCGACGAGAGGGAGGAGCCAGTGACAGGACCCCCAGAACAGCTCCGGGTGAGTTCTTAACAAGCACGTGGCCAAGCCTGCAAGGCCAGATCGCCCCCACGCGGCGCTTCTGGGAACTGCCAAACGCTCGGTCCTGCTCCGCTTCCCCTCCCCGCCCCCACGGACCTCCGGAAGTTGCCGAACGCTCGGGTCTCCCTCTCTTTCCCTCCCCCCCACCCCTCTGGGCTCCGGAAATTGCCGAGGACAGCCTCCCGCATAGCCGCACAGCCGCGAAGCCCGGCCGCCGTAGCCCGACCAGTGGCTGCTGCTACTGAGCTGCATCAGAGGGGACCGAGGGGTCCCGGGGCGGGGGAAAGGCGGTGGGCGAAGCCTGCCTGGACTTCCTATATTGTGAGCATCCGATAGTGGCGGCCATGACGTAGCATCATATTAGTGACCCGCGGGACTCGGGGTGACCCCGGGGCATGCTGGGAAAGCATGGGTTTTTCTCTTTCTTTCTCTGACGGAGAAGGGGAGGACAGGGCCGGGGAGAGGCGGGGCCAGAGCCCAAGAGAGAAGGGGCGGGGCCGGAACTTAAGGAGAGAGGCGGGGCCAGAGCCTATGAGGTGATATTGGGGGGGCCAGAACACAAGAGAGGAGAGGGGCGGGGCCACAGCCTATAGGAGAAATGGAGGAGGTGGGGCCAGAGCCCAAGAGAGAAGGGGCGGGACCGGAACTTAGGGAGAGGGGTGGGAGAGAGGCGGAGCCAGAGCCAGAGCCTATGGGGAGACATGGAAAGGGCGGGGCCAAAACCCTAGAAAGGAGAGAGGCGGGGCCAGAGCCCAAAAGAGCAGAGGGAAAGGGATGGGTTAGAATCATCTTTCCAACACATTCACACCCCTCTTCCAGCCCCATTTCCCCAAGAAAGGGCGACCCACCTTGTCACCTCCCATACACACATACACACTCCCTTAGAAACCGTGCTTTCCAATGTTACTGCAGGGTAGGGTGGAGGTAGCAGAAAGAGGGCAGTGGTGGGATGGAGATGGGTTAGGGTGGGATGGGTTGGAGTGGGATGGGGTGGGATGGGATGGGTTGGGATGAGATGGAAGGGTTGGAGTCGGAGGGGTTGGGATGGATGGAGATGGGTAAGGGTGGGATGGGTTAGGATGGGTTGGAATGGGTTAGGATGATATCCCAGGCCTCCCAGTAGGAAAGCACAGATCTGTGTGCTCTCCTAAGAGTTCTTAGGGATTATCTAATCCAATGCCCTCATTTTACAGAGGAGGAAACTGAGGCTCAGAACCAGTGATCTGCAAGAGGTCACCCAGTGACAGTCAGGATTTTGAATTCAGGGGTTAGATTGTCGTGTGGGATGAACAGCAAAGAGAATCAGTGGCCCTGGGTTGTGTATTAAGGTTAGGGTATAAAGTGTAAGCAGCCTGGAAAGGTAGGCAGGGGTAACAGAGGATGTCCTATTTGATCCTGGAGGTAATAAGAAACCCTGAGTTAGGGGGTGACATGACGGAGCCTGGCCTTTGAGAAGATCACTTTGGTAACTGAGCAGCAGATAGACTAGAGTGGAGAGAGATGTGAGGCAGGGGACCCCCCCCAGCAGGCTGCTGCCACAGTCCAGGGGTGAGGGGGTCAGGACCTCCTTTCACACATTTCTCAAGCACTCCACAGTCCATCCCAGCTGGCTTACTGTGATTCCCCTTCACCCCCTCACACCTGGCTTCCCCTTTCTGTTGGCTGAGTGTCTGACCTCTGTACCAGTAATGGGCTCCTTCCTCACCTGGACTTTCAAGCTGCCTTCGAGGTTCTACTTAAGACCCCCTCCATCAGGATGGTCCTTCTCAGTCCCTGCTGTTGCTACCATCTTCTCACTTCCTGATGACTTCGTATGTACTTATCTGTGTCTACATTATTTCGCTGTTTTTCCCTAAGTTAGAAGTCTTTAACCTCTTGGGGGATCACGCACCCCTTTGTGAATCTGATAAAGCCTGTGGGCCCCTCCTCAGGATCCTATTTTTAAGTGCATTAAAATGCATAGGATTACAAAGGAAACCAATTGTATTGAAATATTTACTAAGGTATTTTTAAAAAGCAAGTTCGTGTGTGCCCAAAGAGCTATAAAACTACACATACCCTTTGACCCAGCAATAGCACTTCTAGGGCTGTATCCCAAAGAGATCATAAAAACGGGAAAAGGACCTGGATGCACAAAAATATTTATGGCAGCTCTTTTTGTGGTGGCCAAGAATTGGAAATGGAGGGGATGCCCTTCAATTGGGGAATGGCTGAATAAGCTGTGGTATACGAATGCAATGGAATACTATTGTGCTATAAGAAATGATGAGCAGGCAGACTTCAGAAAAACCTGGAAAGACTTGTATGGTCTGATGCTGAGTGAAGTGCGCAGAACCAGGAGAACATTGTACACACTAACAGCCACGTTGTGCGATGACTAACGTTAATAGACTTAGCCCCTCTCAGCAATACAAGGATCTAAGACATCTCCAAAGGTCTCATGATGGAAAATGCTCTCCACACCCAGAGAAAGAACTATGGAGTCTGAATGCAGATGGAAGCAGACTTTTTGCTCTTTTTTTTCTCCTGTTTTGTTTTGTTTCTTCTTTCTTGTGTTTCCTTCTATCAGTTCTAATTCTTCTTTACAATATGACTAACATGAAGATATGCTTAATAGGAATATATATACATAGCCTATAGCAGATTGCACGTCGTCTTGGGGAGGGAGGGGAAAAAATTTAAAACTCAAAAGCTTGTGGAAGTGATTGTTGAAAACTAAAAATAACTAATTAAAAAATATTAAAACCCCACAAGTACAGGGACCCTGGGTTGAGAACCTCTGCCCCCACAATCTGTAAATTCCCTTAGAGCCAGAATAGTTTGGGTTTTGATTTTGCTTTCCCAGCACCCAGTGCTGAGCGTGGCCTGAAGCAAGCCTTTGATTAATTGTTGTCAGGTTGAACTGAATTGGAGCGAGCCTAGGAGGAGCCTTGGACCCAGGCAGCCTGAGTGCTTTGAGCCTTGATACCCCACAGGTGTGGCAGGTCGCTGCTCTTTCTTCTACAGGAGTCAGGGCTACAGCAGTTATAAAGCTTCTGGGCTTTTTGGATTGTTTTTGAGAAACCAAACGTGCCCAGCTCCCTGGGATTGATGGTAGACATTCAACTCTGTCATCGTGTTAGGAAGCGGTTTGACCTTCAGTCACTGAGGAGCAGTGAATCGTGGGGAAGCTAGGCATCTAATGGCCTAGCCTCACAGTGCTCAAAGCGTCCCCTCCTCCCCTGGCATCTGCCCCCCCCCCAAGCCAAAAAGCTTTCCCAGGGAGGATCTGAGGCCCTGCCTTTGCCGGTTCATTGGGCTCCTAAGACCTGAATTAGTTCAGGTGACTTCCTGGTGTTGATGGAAGAAGGAACCCTTCTGTGGACCTGTTTGGTGCCTGTGTTCCTAACAACGAAAGGTCCCTGGGCACTTCCCTGCTTGGTACACGGTAGAGCATGGCATGCCCGCCCAGTCTGGCCAGTGAAGGGTCCCCGGAAGCTCAGGCTCCTCTGGTTTGCTGGTTGTCTTTTGAGATGGCAGAATACATCATTCTCCCTCCCCACTGAAGTGCTGAGACTATGTACCCATAAGCACCCACGGGCTGGTCATTTGTCCTCTCTGCAGCTGGCCCGGAGCCAATACCACCCTACCGCTCCACGTGACTCCAGAGAGCTGAGACCTGCTTTTCCCTTTGGCCTCCCTGAGGCAATGGCTTCTCTGGAATCCCGGTCCTGATACCCCACCCTGCTCACCTGACCACTTCTCATGCCCTCAGACTATAGGAAGCCCTGCCCATTCCACATTCCACTGTTCACGTTCCTTTGCCCCACCAAATGACACAGCATTGTACAAACACACAGCCCAAGACTCCTAAGGCTCTGAGTTTGCACCTAAGTGTTTATTCACCAATATTTCTCTCAGAGAGAGGCTTGGAAACAGAGAAACTAGGAGCTAATGGGGCCACTCAACCATCAGGGAAGAGAGAGACAGAAAACAGAAGGCAATGAGCCTCTGAACTTATGGTGCAGGGGCAGTTAGGTGGCACAGTGGATAGAGCACCGGAATCAGGAGGACCAGAGCTCAAATCCAACCTTAGACACTTATTAATTGTGTGACCCATGGCACTACCTCCAATTTGCAAAAAAGAAAGACGCAAATCATTCTATTTGTATACTTTGTTTATTTGATTTTATTTTTAGTTCCAAGTTCTCTCCTTCTACCCCTCCCCCACCCATTGAGAAGGCAAGAACTATGATGCCCATGATACACATGAAGTCATGCAAAACACGTTTCCACATTAGCCACGCATTTGTGCACTGAAAGAATGCATCTCTTTGGAGGTTTCTGAGACAGTTTGTTGGCGCATCAGATAGAGCAAAGTTCAAGTCCCGTCTCAGGTTCTTACTGGAGCTGTGTTGACCCCAAGCAAGTCCCTTGACTCAGCCTCAGTTTCCTCATCTGCAAAATGGGGATAATAATAGTATTGTTGTGAGGATCGAGTGAGTTGGCATTCGTAATGTGCTTTGCAAACCTTGAAGAGCTTTATAAATGCTAGCCGATTATTATTATTGTTGTTATTATTCATGTTATAGACTGGTGGCTAGGGGGATGAGCACAGTTGGACTTGGCCTTGTTCTTAGACCAGCCTGTCTTTCTGTCTTTAGTGGCGCTCAGTCATGCCCCCCAGAAAGGGTTCCCTCAGTCATTCACAAGGGGCAGCACTTAGACTAGAACCCATGTCTTTTGATTCCAAATCCAGTGTTCTCTGACTATACCATGATGCCTCCATGTCCAAGAAGTAGGGAATAGTCCATCTTGACACACACAGGAGGATTGATGAGAGACAAAACAGGCTGCCTTGTAGTGAATTTCCCATCCCTAAAGATCTTCCCACTGGGATTAGATACCAATGCTGGGGTCCCTTTCAGTGCTAAGATTCTGTCATTCTATGCAGGTAATGACAGGATAGGGCGGCCTGGTGGCACCATAGTGCGCAGAGCACCAGGCCTGGAGTCAGGAAGACTCGACTTCCTGAGTTCAAATTTGGCCTCATGCATTTACTAGCTGGGTGACCCTGGGCAAGTCACTTCACCCTGTTGGCCTCCGTTTCCTCATCTATAAAATAAGCGGGAGAAGGAAATGGCAAACCACTCCAGCATCTTTGCTGAGAAAACCTCAAATGGGGTCACAAAGAGTTGGCCATGACTGAATAAGGCCCTTTCCTACTCAATTAAAGACTCAGATGGTTTCTGGGGTGAGAGGCCACCCAGGTGCCAGGGCAGAGGAGGCTGTGCCCCTCAGCAGAGGGAGACCCAAGCAGTGCTATACTCTCCCTGGGCTTCTCCTTTGGAACTGCTTTCTTGGGCCCTCCTGGAAACAAGTTCCTGCAATGCAGCTACCAGTCCACCTCTTCTCTTGTCCTTGTTACCTTCATCCATCCCCCAGCCTGACCCTTGACATCTAAGAGCCCATGGCAGAGATGTTGAAAGTCCCCTGTGCCCCTATTTTCCATCTAGCTTGTATTTTAAGGTCACTCTCGGCCCGTTATAGATTTTTAGATCCTAGCCCTTTCACTGATTGAGTTACCAGCTCCCCACTGCAGTCCCAGGCTTCTCCCCAGAGCTAGTCATAAACCCTCTTGGCTCTGGGGCCAGGCTGGGGCTCAGACTAGCACGGGGTTCTCCAGGGTCTCTGTTGGTGGCCACAGGCAGGAACAGAACCCAAAGATACCTGCCAGACTGCAGCAAGGAAGATAAGCCAGCACCAGCCCCTTTGTGTTTTCCGCAGGCTTGGCTGTCAGCCACGGGTTTGATTTACACCCCTCGGTGTCTCAACAGAGCCATTAAACTGCCTGCTACCAACCTTGTCTACAGACTGCTCCTTCAGGATGACTCTGCTGGGTGGTGAGTTTCAGCAAACCAGGGATATCCTAGGCCCAGGTCTCAACTCATTGTGTGGATTAAACCTCATTCCCCTCTTCTGTAAAATGCAGAGGTTGGGTTACTAGAAATGGCCTCACTGGGCCTCAGTTTCCCCCTCTGTAAAATATGGATTAGAAGATTTCTAAGTTTCCTTTCAGCCCCAAATCTGTCATCCTATGATCTCTTCAGAGAATTGCACAGGAATCTCTCCTCTCCCCTCTCCATTTCCCTTAGGCAGGGACCTTTTTGTATGCTGAGCATCCAGGCCTCCTGCTTCCTCTGTGGTCCCGCAGGACCTTCCCCCTCATCCAGAGTTCCTTGTTTAGCCCCCATTTCTATTGCTGAGGTACCTGCTTGGGTAATACCTTCCTCTAGCCAACAAATTCAGGCCCACTTAGCTGCCCACCACCCAGTGCCCTTCCACCAAGCCATCCCAGACAGCCTTCCAGAGAACAGCCACTGTGTAGAATTGGAATTTCTTCCAGAAAACACTCCTGCTACATCTCACTATGCAAAGCCTTCCTTGTCCCGGCCCCCCCTCCCCCCAGGCATTGGTCCAGGTTGTCTCACACTATGCTTCTTCTCTTCATTTGTGGCCCCCAGTAAGAGGACTGGCAATGTTTTCACATCTTTGTTTTCAGTGCTTTGCACATAGTAGGTGTTTAATAAATAGTTAAATTAAATGAATGAATCTTATGACATTCTCTGCCCTCCAGAAGCTTCCATTCCAGGGGGTGGGAAGGAAGAGGAGATAGGAAGATACAGTGTGTGCACAGGTAAGAAAATACAAAGCAATTTAAAAAACTTTATTATCTGAACTTAAACACCAAATAAAATTATTTCCATATACATAGTAGAACAGAGAAGATTGTACATCAAACTGCAGGTCTCCATTATGCACAGGCTGCTTTTCTTTTCAAGCATATAGTAAATTCAACCTGTACCTTTCAAAGCTGTCCTGCTTGTCTGTTCTTTCTGTCCTTCCTTCTGTTTTTTTAAATACCTTAATGATCTCTTTTCCTTCTTTTTCTTCCCTTTCTTTCTTCCTCCTTCCCTTCTTCCCTTTCTTTCTTATTCCCTCCCTCACACCCTCCCTCTCTCCTTTCTTTGTTTCTTTCTTTTCTTTGTTTGTTTGTTTCTTCTTTCTTTCTTTCTTTCTCTTTCTTTCTTTTCTCTCTCCCTTCCGTCCTTCCTTCCTTCCTTCTTTCCTTCCTTCCTTCCTTCCTTCCTTCCTTCCTTCCTTCCTTCCCTCCTTCTTTCTTTTTCCTATCTCTATGCCCTGTCATACTCTCAACAAACTCTCATTAGGAAAAAAAAAGGCTAAACCAAACCCTTGCAACAAATATGCAGTCAAACAAAATAAATTCCTCCATTGGCTGTGTCTGAAAATCTATGTCTCGTCCTGCATCTTGAGTCCATCACCACTCTGCCAAGAGGTGGGTAGCATGCTTCATTATCAATCCTCTAGCATCGTTCTGTCTCCTCCCACCTTAAGGTCTTCCTGATTCCAAGACTGGCTCTGTCTACTATGGTGCACTGCCTTTGGTATAGAGGAGGCAACTCCTGTTCATTGACTTGCCCAAGGTCATGCTCATGGGCCAGTGACTGAGCTGGTGGTCACTTGAATGGGCTCCAGCCTGAGGCCGAGTCCAACTGAAGCTCAAGAATCAGTCGTTGGTCCATTAACCCCTGGCTGCCAAGAGCCCCTCCATCTTCTCAATGCTAGCGTGGGGAAGGCTGGCCTGACTGTGTCTCTCCTGGTGCTCTCTGCAAAGGTGACCAGAGCCTGCTTGCAAAGGCCGACAGGACTCGTTTGGCTCGCTCCTTGGAATGCAGAGCCCACCCTCCACGAAGGGGTTAGGAGCTGCCCGGAGGGCTGGCCCTGTTGTTCAATCTCATTGAGCACCAGTGTCGGCCAATAGGTGGTAATGAGAACCTATGGCTTGGGCCCCTCCTCCACATGGCTGGCAATCTCACCATTTATCAGATAGAGGAACAGGACTGAACATCCCCACCAGGGCGGACAAAGGTCATGGGCCAGTTCTCCAGCCCATTTAGACCAGGGGCTGGGAAGCCTGAGGCTGTTCCCTAGCGTACTCCAGTTCCCCATTGCTGAGTGACACTGCATATGGCCTGATTGCTTGGGCCTAGGAGTGGAAGCAGGAGCCCAGGAGGAGGAGGGCTGAGACAGAATACGTGAGCTCTAAGCAGTCAACCAAGGGCCGACTTGAAAGCATTTCTGTTACTTAGGGCCACAATTAGGAACATTTTTAGTCATAGAAATCTAAATTAAATGTGATCTTTCAATTAAAAATCTATTTTCTCTCCCCTTTACCTCTCCCTGTTGGGAGGGAAGAGGGGAGAAAAACAAAACTTTTGTAATATTCATAGTCAAACAAAACTAATTCCTTCGTTGGCCACGTCCAGAAATGTTTTTAATATAATTTTTGTTACAGAAATTTAGAAACCTTAGAGACCTTCTCCATCAACCCTGTTGTTCTCTAGAGGAAGAAGCTGAGAGCCTGAGAGGGGATTTACCCACAATTCAATTCAGTTGTCTTTTATTAAACACTGACTATATATAAGGTGTTGGAGGCATCTGTGACTTTAGTGAGCAGAGAGCTGCCCTCAATCAGGAAGACCCAAACTCTGGCATATGCTGGCTATGTGGCCTGGGCCCTCTTGGTGCCTCGGCAACTTTCTAGCCCTTAGAAATGGCAGGATAGGTGCCATCTGCATTGGTTATAGGTATTTCTTCCCTGGAGTTCTCCTCACACCAATGATATCACAGGTTCAGTCTAAAAAAAATGTATAAGGTACTGGGGATATGAAGACAAAAGCTAAGCAGCCCCTGCCCACAAGAAGCTTACATTCTATTGGGAAGATTCACCATGTACCCAAGGGAGTATGAGGCTAAAACAAGATGAATGTTTTGTATTGATCCTGGGGGCAGTAGGGAGCCACTGCAGTTGATTGAATAATGGGGGTGATAGGGTCAGAATTTCGGCAGCGGAGAGGAGAGTGGCTGAGATTGTCAGCATCTGTGGCAACTGTCCAGGCATGGGGTGATGACAGCCTGCCCCTGGGAGGTGGCCGTGTCAGAGGACAGAAGGGGGCCTGTGCAAGAAATGTCACAAAGATAATGGACAGGCCCGGGTGACAGAATGGATATGGGGGCTGAGTGAGAGGGAGGAGTCAAAGATGGTACCCGGGTTGTGAGCCTGAGTGTCTGGGAGGATGGTGGGACCCTCAATGGTAACAGAAGTTGGGAAGAGGGGACGGTTTGGGTGAAAAGATAACAAGTTTGGTTTTGGACATTTGGATTAAAGATGTCTAGGAGACATCCATTTCTTTTTTTTTAAAACATATTTCCACATTAGTCATGTTGTAAAAGAAGGATCAGAACAAAAGGGAAAAACTATGAGAAAAAAAAAACCAAAGAAAGAGAAAATACTATGAGGGAAATCCATTTGAAGATATTGACTAGGCAGTTGGGGATGTGAAAATGAAGGTCAGGAGAGAGGTTAGGGCCTGGATGAAAAGATTGGGGAATCGCCTTCGTAGAGATGGCCATTGAATCCACGGGGACATCAAGTGAAATAGTATCAAGGGAGAAGGGAAGAGGGGCAGCCTTGGGAGGGCACCTGTGGTTATCAGGTATGACCTGTGTGAAGATCCAGCAAAAGAGTCAGAGCAGGAAGCATCAGATAAGTAGGAGGAGGGTCCTGAGAACCTAGAGAGAAGAGAATGTGGAGGAGGAGAGGATAACCAACAGCATTAAAAGCTTTGGAGAGGTCAAGAAGGATGAGGATGGAGAAAAGTCCTCTGGATTGGGCAATTAGGAGATCACTGGTGACTTTGGAGCAGATTCAGTTGAATAATGAAATTGAAAGCTGGCCTGCAGTGGTTAAGAAGAGAGTGAGAAGAAAGGAAGTAGAGGCACGGACTGCAGATAACCTTCTCAAGGAGATCAGTCACAAAAGAGAAGAGATATAGAGGATGATGGGGCAGCTAGGCACATAGAGGGCCATCCCTGGAGGACCTGAGGTCAAATTGGCCTCAGATTGTATGACCCTGGACAAATCACTGAACTATGTTTGCCTCAGTTTCTTCATCTGCAAAAAGAGCTGGAGAAAGAAATGGCAGACCCCTCTGGTATCTTTGCCAGGAAAATTGAAGGTGGGGTCACAGAGTCGGACATGACTGAAATGACTCACCAACAATGACAACCTAAAGGATGATAGCTTTAGGGGACGGATGGATCGAGTGAGGGGGTTTTGGAGGATGGGGGAGACAAAGAGAGGTGCAGTATCTTGAAGGAGATGGGATGGAATGGGATCACTAGGGCACATAACGAAGTTTGCCTTGGCAAGGAGAAGGGTCACTTCATCTCCTGAGATAGGGGTGAAGAAGGAGAAAGTGAGGGAAGGTGTCTTAGTGATGTGAGAGGAGGAGGAGGAGGAGACAAGAAGGAGCTTTCAGTGAATGACCTCAATTTTTTCAGTGAAATATGAGGCTGGGTTCTCAGCTGAGAGGGCAGAGGGAGGGAGAATCTTGAGAGGGCTGAGAAAGGATGAAAAGGTTTAGAAAAGCCACTGAGGTGAATGGGATAGTGGGTCAATTAGGGTTGGACCAGTTGGCTTTTAAGGGGCCTTCCAGATGTCCTGAAAGGACTTACAGATGAACAGGCAAAGGAGAAAGTGCTATTGACCAAAGGGAGAGAGAAAACCTCCTTCCTAGAGGAAGTAGCACCCAAGCTCTGCTTTGCAGGAACCTAGCAAGGGGATATTGGTGACAGGATGGAGGCTAGCCCTTGGGGGTTGGGGGACTAACCCCCAGCATCTCAGCTTCTCCATCTTACCTTTTATGAACCCCTGTGGCCCAGACTGTTGATGTTTAGGGACCCCTTCTTAGATTTGTGCTGATTGCCCACATTCCTAATGGAAGGTTAGAGGTGAATGAAAATGAAGTAAAATAATAAGTAAAAAAATAAAAACATGATGACGCAAACAAGAGACATGAAAGGACACCTCCAACTCACGCCTTTGTGGAGGTGGTGGGTCCACACGTGTTGCATGTGGCACACATTTTTAAGACATTTTCAATGCATTGATTATGATTTTTTTCTCTTCTTCTCTTTTTTTTTTTGACTTTATAAAATACTATTAATCATGTGGGGCAGATGAGAGGTGGAGGCCGAGAGAGACTGGAGAAAGCTATGATGATGTAAAAACTCAAAAGATCAATAAATACTTATTTTAAAAAAGAAAATAAAGAGGTAATTGTTCTCCCATCCAAGTTCATGGATGTCCTGAAATCTATCCACGTCTACTGGAATCCAGTTCTAGATATCTGAAAAGCAGCTGGAGATGTGAGATTAGAGGTCAGCAGAGAGACTGGGGCAGGATAAGATCTGAGAATTGTCAGCATAGACATGGTCAGTAAATCCAGGGGAGCCCATTTACCCCAGGTGAAGAGCCCTGGCTCTGTCCCAAACAGCCCTAGGCCTCTTAAAGAAGTAAGAGTTATGTTGTATAGATGACCTCTGTTCTCCTGTTCTGGACCACCTAGGACCAAAGACTTTTTCCAGAGTGATTGGGAAAAGGACATATCATAGCATAATGGGAAGGGCAGCAGATTTGGAATTTTTTTTAGCCCCAACCTTGTCTCTGCCGCTTATTCCTGTGTGACTTTGGGTGAGTAATTTCTCTACTCTCTGCCTCAGTTTTCCTTCTCTAGAAAATGAGGGAGTCAGACAAGGTGGTCTCTTGTTAAAGCCAGTTCCAGCCCTAAATCCTGTGTTCCTCAAGGTTCCAGTTTCATTGAGACGCCGGTGAGGTAATGTCTGGGAGGCATAGATTTAATCCTATCTTCCTCTCATCCAGTCCTCCCCTCAACACACACCCACACCCACACCCACACACACACACCCCTCAAAGACCTCATTTGGGACCTGCTGCTCTAGGGGCGACATTTTCAGGCAGGTCAGGGGCCCTGGACAGTACCCCTTTCCCTCCCTGGCAGACAGAGCCCTCAATGTCAGAGCTAGAGGGTATGGTGACCCCAGCTCTCCCACCTGGAACGCTTCTGAGATGGGGGCACGGTGGCGGAGGCGTCGGGAAGGGACTCAGCAATGCAGCAGCATAGTAATCTGCCTCCTTCCTCCTTGGAGACGCTGGGGGTGGGGCCGCGGTGGGGGAGCTCTTTGCTGCAATCCGAGCTCTGGGGAGAACTGCGGTAGGCAATTTTTGAGTATTTTTTTTTCAAAGTCAATGCAGAGTTGTATTTGGCTACAGTCTTAAGTACCTTGTATTCTAATGATTTTTGGGTCCTGGCCCAGCCCCTTTCCGCCTCCTATCTCTCATTAAGGATGCGGTGCAGGAGAGCTTTTAAAAGCATTAATGTCAGTAAAGCTCCAGAAGGGAGGTGACCTCCAAAGTCCTTTCCTCATTGATAGCGGGGCCAGGAGGAGATGTGCGATCCATCTGCAGTCTTTACCCCGTGCAGTCATTAGTGTAAGAGATAGCGTCTTCATTTTACAGATGAGGGCACTGAGTCTCAGCAAGGGGGCTTGACTGTGCCCAGAGTCATGTGACAGCTGAACTACAGGGGCCTCAGCCTCTTGGGGTAATTATTCCTGCATCCCTGGATGGGGGTGGGGAGGAAGCTTCCATGCTCTCTGGTTCTGTGAGCTCCTCCAGGTGGGATCTCCCTCTAGAGATGCCCATCCTCATCACAGACCCTCCCAGGGGGGTCTGCCTTCCTCCAAATCCCTCAGTTTCTGGTAGAGAGACTAGCAGCAGAAATCAGCACTCCTCTCTCGGATAGCTCATACTGTATTTACATGGTGCCTTGCAGTTTTCAAAAGCCTTTCCTTACAGTAACGTCATGGGGTCTTTGGTCCAAAGATTGACAGCCTCATTTTACCAGTGAGGATCAGGGGGGTTAAATGCTTTGCTCACCGTATTTGGAAAGGAAAGCTCAGGTCTGGGACCTTCCCTGCCTATTATACCCGTAAGATCATGGCTAAGGCCCCCAGGCTGGTGACTGCACTAATCCCTACCCTTACTTGGCTATTTCTGGAGGTGGGTTCTTCTGTTCTCACATTTGCTGAATCATCAGCCCCATGAGGGCAATTTTACTAACTTGGGCTCCACCCAAAAAAAGGGGAGACTCTTGCTGCCCCAGAATCTGCTACAGAACATGAGGTTGGACGAGCTGGCCTCTGACCATCTCCCTCCAGGTCTCATATTCTATGAGTATGAATTCCTTTCAGCTCTAACGGTCCACACAGCTGGAAAACTGCCCCCTCCAGAGTTACCCATGATCACTTAGTGGCCAAATCCAGGGGTCTTTTCTCAATCCTCCTTCTCTCTGACCACTCTCCAGTCTTAGACCCTGTGGATCATCCTCTCTTCCTTAGTATTCCCTTCTCTAAAGGTTTTTGGGGCACTGTGCTCTCCTGGTTCTCCTCCTCCTTCTCTGACGGCTCCTTCTTTGTTTCCTTGCTGATCCCCTTGCAGATCACCCCCTCTGACCCTAGGTATCCTTCAGGGCTCTGTCCTGGACCCACTTCTCTTTTCTCTTTGTGCTACTTCACAGGATCTCATCATCCCCCATGGATTTAGTTCTCATCTCTACTCTGATGATTCTCAAATCTACCTGTCCTGTCCCAATCTCTCTGTTGACCTTCAGTCTCACCTCTACAACTGCCTCTCAGACATCTCAGACTAGATGTCAAAGGGACATTTGAAGCTCACATCCCCCTAAACCCTCTTGTACCTTCCTCCCTTCCCCATTACTGTAGAGGATGACGCCAGCCTCCCGATACCCCAGGCTCCTAACCTAGGAGTCTTCCTCAACTCCTCACTATCTCTCCCCCACCCCCATATTCAAGCTGTCACCAAGGCCTGTCGATTTAACCTTTGTACCCTCCCTGTATACGCCCTATTCTCTCCTCTGACACTCTAGATTCACCACCCTCATCCAGGCTCTAGTCACCTCTCGCCTGGACTGTTGCCATAGGCTGGTGGGAGGTCTGCCTGCTTGAAGGCCATCCCTGCTCTAATTCATCCTCCATTCAGGCACCAAAGGGACTTTCCTAAAGCAGAAATCTGACCATGTCACCCCCTACTCAATAAACTCAAGTAACTCCCTGTGGCCTCCAGGCTCAAATGCAAAATGCTCTATTTGGCCTTCAAAGTCCTTCTACCTACCTTTCCAGTATTCTCACACCCTACTCCTCACTACATACTCTTTGATTCAGAGATGTGGGCCGCTAGGCTGTTCCGCAGACCACACCCTCCATCTCTTGGCTCTGGCTGTCCCCCATGCCTGGAACGCTGACCTCCCAGGCTTCCTTTAAGTCCCAACTAAAATCCCACCTTTTACTGGAAGCTTTCCCCACACCCTCTTCATTCCAGTGTCTTCTCTCTGTTCATTATTTCCTACTTATCCTGTCTGGAGCTTATTTGTTTGCATTTTGCCTCCCTCATTAGATTGTAAGCTCCTGGAGGGCAGGGACTGTCTTCTGCCTCTTTTTGGATCTCCAGTGCTTAGCATAGTGCCTAGCACATAGTAGGCACTTAATGACAACTGTACTTGACCTGGGCAAACTCACTTCTCAATTCCTACCTCCCAACAGAATGTGTTCCTCAGAGTTCCTAGTTACACTTTATGGAACACCCTTCACAGGTATAGATCACAGCTCTTCTGTACTACTTTATTCTGTGTAATTCTTATTCATGTTCTCCAGTGAAACCCCCCAAATTTATCTATCAACAGATCCGGAGGCCTTTCTCTGGCTTTTTTCCATTTCATGGATCTCAATCTAGTCCTCTGTTTCTTTACCTTCCATCCCTCACTCTCACTGTATCCAGCACTTAGCGCATGCCTGGGACATAATTGCTTGTGATGGTATGAGCACAGTCCTTTTTGGAACTTACACTTACTCAGTGATAACTTATAGGCCACTTCTTCTGCATAAATCATCCTTGGGATATGCTGCTACCTCGGCCCATTCCCCAAGCATCTTTCCATTATCCTTCACTTCATCTATGCTTGTGATTCTTCAGACATCATGGTATGCCATGGCTTGCTGACGAACCACCTCCTTTGCTGACATTAGTGAGTTTTTCTGTCTGGGATGAGTTTGAGATTGTTGAAAATTCAATGCCTTTTCCCCAAAGCAATCCAGCTCAGTCTCCTGCTTGATCCAGATATCAAGCTTGTGGTGCTTAGGAAGCATTAACAAATGACTGAATGAAATCAAGTCATAAGGTCCAAGAGGGACTGTGTGATGAGAAAACCTGAAGGAGGCTGGCCTCTGAGCATTGTTGGTTCTTTTTTTTTTTTTTGGCAATTAGGGTTAAGTGATTTGCCCAGGGTCACACAGCTAGTGAGTGTCAAGTGTTTGGTCTGAGGCTAGATTTGAACTCAGGACCTCCTGACTTCAGGCCGGTGCTCTATCCACTGAGCCACCTAGCTGCCCCTAGCATTGCTGGGTCTTGAGCATGGCATGGTGAAAGCAGAGTCCTCTGTACAAGTCCCCTTGGCCACCTCTCAACAGATCCAAATTTCATGAAAGCTCCTTTCCTCAAAGGTGGGCTCTCCCTTCTTCCTGCTTACTCCAAGCCTATTCTTTGTGTGCATCAGGGTGACTGAACAGTTACAATCCATGACTTTGTGCCAGGGTGACCAATGTCTGAGGAGGCACGTGCATGCGCGCGCATACACACACACACACACACAAACTGCCCATTTTGTAGCATCTCTGAAGCTTTCCACAGCAGTCAGTCAAGAAGCATTTATTAAGTGCCTACTGTGTGCTAGGTATTGTACTACGTAAGCTCTAGGGATACAAAGAAAGGGAAAAGACTGTCCCTGCCCTGGAGAAGCTTACCATCTAAGGACAAGCATATAGAAAAGGCGCTTGACTTTGCAGTAGGGTAAACACCCCACCTGCCTTATTCCTCCCCTGTTCTCACTTCCTCCAGCACCAGGCTGATCTGAGCCTCCTTTTTCTTTCATTGGCCTTTAGCACAATGCCTGGCACATAGAAGACAATTCCTACTCATTGACTTTGCCGTTAAATCTTCAAGGTTCAGAACTGGAAGGAACTTCCAGTTGATCCAAACGGGCAAACCATCCTCGGCTCTGGTGGCCAGAAGGAGAGTCATCTAAAGATGCTGCCCCTGTCGAGTTTGCTAATAAGATTAACACACTTCTCTCCTTGCTTTTTTCTTTGTAAAACACTTTCCTCCCAACAACTCTAGGAGGTAGGTTGTGCCAGACTTAATTATTGCACAAACTAGTTCTACAGGTGAATTAACTGAGACTCAGTGAGATTCAGAGCTGCCAGGGTCACCTCAATAATCAGAGTCAGAGCCAGGGGCCCCTTCTCCTGCTGGTGGGAGCTGAGGAACCCAAGCCGATAACAGGGGAATCACTAGCTGACCTAAATCATTTCCTCTTGAGATTGGAAGCAGCATCCCTTGACCGATCTAACTATTTGGAAATTTTTCTTATTCTTCCTCTATGACTTCTGACTTCTTCATTCAACTATTCTTGCCCTTTCCAAAATTACCAATAATATCCTAGCTCAGTCATGTCCAACTCTTCGTGACCCCATTTGAGGTCTTCTTGACAAAGATTCTGGGGCAGTTTACATTTTACAGATGAGAAAACTGAGGCAAGCAGGGTGAAGTGACTTACCCAGGGTCACACAGCTAATTAGTGTTTGAGGCTGGATTTGAACGCAGGAAGATGAGTCTTCCTAATTCCAAGTCCAGTGTGCTATCCACTGCACCACCTAGCTTCCCTGTTGCTTCCTGGTTTGGAAATTCGTCTCCTTGACTAATCCAACAGGTTTTGGGTAATCACTTAGACTAGCAGGCCTCCAGAAATCATGATTCAATATCAAGGACAGCCTCAAAGAAGAAATGAAGTCACAAAAAAAGCAGCCTGAGTGTGTGTGTGTGTGTGTGTGTGTGTGTGTGTGTGTGTGTGTGTGTGTGTGTGTGTGTACAGAAGCTTAGGCCTTTGACATAATATGAGAATTATGGGCTAAACATCCCTATTGGCCTTTGGTCTCTTGGGAGTACCAGCTGTCTTGGAGAAGGCAATCATACTCATCCATTCACACACAGAATCTGAGTTGGAAGGGTCTTCAGAGACC